TGGCCATGCCGGGCCTGGTGAGATTAGTAAGACTAGGGATGTAATCATAAATTTTGGCAGGGTAGGAGTCACCTTCAGTTAAGACAGCATTATAAATTTTGGCAGGGTGACCACCTTTGGAACAAGTTGCCTAAAGATGTGGTACATACACTTAATTTAAGGGAAAGCTTGATATATATTTGAATGATAAGCAATGGCTTTGAGTTTTTTTATTTTTTTAGTGTTAAGTTTAAGTCATATGTTTATAGTAGAAAGGTACTGTGTCAGAGAAAAACCAGTATCTTCATAGCAACATTCTTGAACATATTGAGAAGTTGTGTAACACTAATACTACAGCACTTTCATAACTACCATTACAGCTGTGAATCTTTCCATGTTTTTTGTAACAAAGTAATTTTCATCCGTATGTTGAAATAGGCAAACAACACAGTTTGTTAATAATAACATGCAGTATTGTAAACTTGTATAGCAGATCTGGTAAGAAAACAATGTTGTGTTTTTCCCTGTATACATGCACGTATGATGTATGTACATCCACTGGACAAGTCATAAATAATTTTCTCTTCCACAGAGTATTAAAAAAAAAAAATCACACAGTGCATACAAATTGGACATTATTTTTTCTTCACAATATCTACAGAAAAGATACAAAGAAAGCATTACACCTATAAAAATATCATGAAAAATACAATCTAGCATGCATTTTTTTTCATTATTTGAAGTCAAATTATTAAGACAAACAATAAGCAAGAAAAACAAAAAATTCAATACATTTTAAAAACAAGTCTCTAGGAAACAGAAGTGTGTTCTGGTACTTGATTTAAAATTCACAAAAGGTGAAATACAGAACCACTAGATAATGAAGGAACTGTAAGCATAACATTTTAGTTATGTAAATATCTAGCATTAATTATTAGAAATTGCTGAGAAGTATTTTCAGGATTTTTTTTGCAAATTCAGTCTTTATTTTAAAGATCAATGACGTATTTTAATGTACTTTCACAAACTATGTATAATCTAAGTGTGTCAATAGTCCTATTTAGTTTTTTTATAATCTGTGAATTTCTATAGTCAGTTAAGCAAAAGAAATGGTGTTTAAAGGAGAATTCATATCATTTCTAAGGGAGAGAAGTAGTGTATATTAACATTGTATATGTCAAATTCTGTAGTTCGTTCATATGTCTTAAATTAAAGTTTATAATATACTAAGAAGTTCATGTAATTTCTACCTAATGTAATGATTTCTAAACCTTAAGTGAAAATAAGTTGGAAATATATTTAAGACCAGATGAAATATTTGGTGTTATATTATGAGCAGTCATGATTAATTCGAGCCCTGCTGCATGTGCATAAAATCTGCAGACATCAGCAATTCATTGTAGGGAAGGATAATAACTATCATAAAATGGATTAATTCTGTTAACAGTAAAAAACAGAAAAAGTATAAAAAAGAATCGTACATGCATGCCATTAAATATGTGCTTCAAAATATTTTTTTTAGTGTGTTCAGACATTTTCCTCAGCTATATATAATAGTGGAAATTTCTCAGAGAGTGGTAATTTCAGCATCTTGATATTCTGTTGGTAGTGATGTTTTTATTTGATACATCACTGTTTTACTGAAATTATGTAAATAGTGAGACTTGTTATGATAAAACGTATGTCTTTGTTTTGTGGAATTATTTAATAATTTATCAATGCTCAAGCTGTATGATATTTTGTGTGGTGAGCTAATCCAAAGCCTTGTAGATATCGAGTAGACTGTGCGAGAAATCTGTAGTAATTTTCTTTGCATACTATATTAAACAAATTTAACGATTCTGTTTTGCAATGTTTGAATTACGTTACATCTAAATCTAATCACATTATCCTTAATTGTACACATAGGCCATTACAATAAGCTGATAACAAATATTTTGTTAGGTTTAACAATTGTTTTTGTAATAAAACAAAGATTTCTCTATCTATTTTATCATGTCCTTACATCTCAAATTTTACAAATTCATTATGACCTGAGCACTGCTGGGATGTCTCCTAGTAGAAAACATCATAGTAATGCAGAGGATTGAGGATGTTCTTCTACATCACTTTAATACTTACACTGGTTTATAGCTACAGATACTAGGAAAGACTTGGGGTAGACACTGTCATAATGATTCCCTTGAGTGTAACAAAGCATGATCTACAACATGAAAATAAAAGTATAACATCTAACAACAGTATTCAGAAGTTTCAGGTGTACCAGTCATAACATCTGTGTTAGTTGTCAAATTATCTTAAAACATTTTTTTTTCTTAACATTTGAAATTCTTCCTACCCAAAACATTTGTAGGAGTATTAGACATTGTTTCTTTAGTTTTCTAACACTGAATGTCATAATATAAAAAAAAACAAGAAAAATTTTTCACGCTTTACCACTTATATGAAATTTTATATTACTATTTCCATTACCCCTTCCTAAACTTTTTTTGCATTAGCTATTACGTGAAATATTGTTCTTTACCTTTAGCTACAACTTTATGTACTTATTTTTTACATTAGCTACACCTTGATACACTTTCTTTACATTAATTAGCTTGTACTTTAAATGTTCTTTACCTTAACTACAACTTTAAATTTTTTGTGTTCTTTATACATTAGCACTACTTGATACACTTTCCTTATGTTAATTACCAAATTTTTCGGTGTATAAGACGCAC